AAAAAAAAACAAAAAAAATAAAATAAAAAAAAAACTCCTTACGAAATTGCTTTCTTTTATGTATGTATATATTCTGAATAGAAAAGCTTTACAGAAATTGCTGTAATTTAATTTTCATATTAGGATGTGTTAAATTTTCAAAAATCAATGATATAGTTAGCGTATTTGAACCCCGTTTTCTAACGTGTTCTTTTCAGAAAGTTAGTGCCAAACTTTCTGTAAGCGACTTTCGATAAAGAAAACTAAGAAAATGGCAACTCTTTTGTATTATTAGATATACAATTTTAACGCATATATGTAAATCTCTCCCTAATACTCTCAGGCATTTCGATACCGTAACATTGTCTTAAGAAAAATTATGATCATAAAAACGCACCCTATATAATCTTATCATGATTGGTGGTGGTCTATGAGTATCTTTTCTATGTTTCCATTATATGCTTTAGTGTGTAACGAAATAGGGTTGATATCAAAGGAGAAAATTTTACGAACAAGGGGGTTTCCCCGAATAAAGCATTGAAATAAATATAATTTCTATACAATTGCAACATGTTCCTACAGAGCATAGTAGCTATTTTGGTATATGAAATAAGTTAAGAAACTTAACAGATGTTTATATATACGTATCTAAAATCAATCGAGTTAGATATAGGGTTATATATAACATGTATGTATAAATGATCAAAATGACGAGACGATTTGAAATTCGGGTGACTGTCTGTCCGTTCGTCCGTCTGTGCACGCTGTAACTTTGAGATACCTTAATGAAACTAGGTACACATGTTTCTCGGCATCGTATAGTATATAGGCGTAATCGCATCACGCCCAAGAAATGTCGTGAAACGAGAATCTATAAAGTGCCATAACTAAGTATTAAAATAAGATATAAAATTATAATTTCCGCCGAGGATCGGAGTAGCAAGGAGCACCAGTGGGCTGATAATTTGCAAAAAACGTACGTGGCTCACCCTCTCAGATGTTTCAGGTACCAAAACCAAACCATTTAAGATGCAATATCCGAGCTTGCTCATGACAAATATCTTAAAGAGCCCTAGCGAAGCTGTAATAACACTTTTGTTAAAAACTGCAAAAACGGGTTAAATCTATAAATAAACTAGCTGACGTCGCAGGCGTTGTCCTGTGTTATATTATGTGTTTTGATATGAAAAGAAAGTTGAATTTATATTGTGTTGAAAACCAGTTATTTGCGATTTTTCTACATTTTACATTTTTTTCATGCAGCGCAGCTTGATTTGATTGATATTTTGGGTTCTGTTCCGCAGCGTAAATGTATAGAAAAGATCGCAGAATCAAGCATTCGGTCCCCTTGTATTCAATAGCTGCGTCACAATCAGACGGGTTCCATTATTGCGAAACATAATAATGACAAATCCAACTTTGAAACGCAACTAATACGGCGGCTTACCAAGCCTATCCATTATCCATTTACTCCTTAACTGGGAGCACACTGGTCTGAATGTACTTAAAAATTTTCTAAATATTCGTTTTCCAAAATATTTTAGTTTCAAAATTTGCTGATGATCTTATTTACTTTTCTTTTATTTTTTTTAATTTTTTCTTACTTTTTTTTTTTAATTTGTTTCGATAATTTTTTTCTCTCATTTTATTAGTTAACGTTTACCCGGCATAATGAAAACAAAACTTTTTACTTCATTTATTTGTTGTTGTGGATGTTAAGTAATATAATATTAAAATCAGCGGTGAACGTGAACAGCTCAGCTCGTACGTGTTTCTAATTGAAATTTCACAATAAGGAACTGCGGTGTTTCTGTTAAACAGTGACTTGGCATTAAAATGAGTACAATAAATAATGGAAGAAAAGATAAATAAATATAGTTTTAGAAAATATATATACCATATACAATTAAATTTATTGGTAAAAATAATTTAAAAATATATTTAAATAGCAATGAGTCAAAGAATAATACGCTAAATGGCCTCTATTAAAAGCATAAACATAATTTTTCTTTTGTTTATGAATTTAGAATTAATTTCTAGAATAATATTCTAACACTTGAAAATATCTTAACAACTTAGAAGTTTATAAAAATGCATGAAATTATTCTCCAGAAAATTTACACCATAAATTAATTGAAAAATCAAAAAAATATAATTTGATATTCCAATTTTATGTCAGCATACTGTAGCTATTTGTGCATTAAGTTCACTTATCGAAATACTATATTGTCACGCAAATAATAAAAATGCAACCCTACTATATGTTTGCATTGATTTGCCTGTATCATGTCTGTTTTTGTTTTTTCGTTTTTTTTTTTCAAATTAATTCACGTTTTTCCCCTGGATTCCACTTTGTGTGGCAAAAGCGCAACCGGTGGGTCCACTTTTTACACACGCCGTAATTATTACTTTTGATTGCAATTCGATTGCATTTTTTCCTAACCGATTAAATAAGGCATTTGTATGCAAAATTATGCATTTCACGCGAAGTTCATTGGAAAAGAGAGAAATATTATTGAAAGCATTAAAAAAAAATTTTACTTTATGAGCACTGTAACACCTTTATTTCAATCACCCACCAAATGATACCTGTTGAGTGAGAAGAGGAGATAAATTAACTGATAATTCATTTTACAGAACAAGATTACAACATTTCCATGAGAATGAAATGTACTGTTAATAAATTAACTATGATTTTATGCTTAAAATTCTCTTTTTTTTATTAAATTTTTTCACTTATAATTTTTGGCACATATTATCTAAAGATTTTATGTCATTAGAAATTTATCATGAAAACAAAACGAGTATCTTTAATGACTGATTTAGCACTTTGTAAGCAATTATGTTATATAAACTAAGCTATAAATTAGGACTTATCAAAACAAAAACAACTTTGCTAATGGTTTCTGAGAGCATCTACAGTTACTTCTCTCAACTTAACTTTTAAATTTTCAACTTTTTTTTGGCAATAATTATTTATTTATTGCATCTGCTTTTTGTTTGTTTTAAAATCCTTACAATAAGATATAAAATGTATAAATAAATCTATTTGAAAACTAGACAAGCTCAAGCAAGTGATTGAGTTATTTTGGTGATACGTTGCTCTTTAGTTACGCAGGCATATATTTTCTTTTAAGGCGTGTTTGATAGCAGCAATGTACCAAAGCATTAGCCAATGGATTTGTGAGATCTCTGAGTTTAGATATACATATATTTCATTCTGCTGTCCTCTACTTCTTTCCCTACCATAGGAATACCAAGGTATTTATGGATATTTTCATTACGTGTACCATGGTGCAGCTGTGATTGTTGTAAGTATTTTTAATTGGAACCTTTGTGTTATATCAATATGAGTTGCACATGCCGTACTCCACAATTGAATACCATACTACTAAATTGGCTTTATAAATTTCATGATATAAAAGCGCTTCATTGTCTAGGCTAAGTTTGAAGTTTTTATTTAAAAGCCTATTTAAATTTGCAGCTATTCTCTCATGCAAGTTATTTTACTAGATATATGCAGAATGTGTATGTTTTCTCTTTGTAAGTGTTCTATCTAGGTGCATACGAAGATAAGTTACTTCATTCGCTTGGCGTACTAAAACATTGTTCATTTTTACTGCCGGGCACATTTTTGGTCTAAGCGACAATTTAACATGCCTGCATTTTTGTTCATTCACATTTATACGCCAGTTGGCTAGCCATTAACCGACAGACCTTAAGTGTTCGCTATGTGGCTTTTGCTACGACTCACTAAAGCCATACCATCAGCAAAAGTTGATGTCAATACATTATTAGCTGTTGAAAGATCTGTTCTATATATGATGTATAGAGTTGGGCCTAAAACACAGCCCTGTGTTGCGCTAGCCCTTATCTGTCGTTCATCAGATATAAAATCTCATACTTGAACCAAAAATTGTCTATTATTTAAATAAGACTCGAATGTTTCATATAATTCTAAACGTAAAATATTATTATTTATCAATATATATTATCCTCGACAGCCGAAAGCCTTTGATGCTAGCGCTGCGTACTTTAGTTTATTTAATAATTTGTTTATTATGTAAGCTTTAATAAAAAAAAAAAATAAAAAAAAATATTATCCTCGAAACACTTGTCATACGCACTTTTTGGG